CTGTATAGTTGTGTACGGTACTAGATGTAAACGAACTTTTAACCGTCAACTAAATCTTTTCAAAAACAATAAGGGTTGAAAATGCAACTTTCTAACAAAACTAAAGCTTTCAAGCCTTTAATAGTTTATATATTCTAAATCTACATAAAATGTCCTACAAATCCTGAAATTTTGATATTTTTTAGGCTATGTTTAGTATCGTTCTGAGCGTCTTGAAAATGTGTAAAAAATAGCCAAATATTGGTAAATTTTTCAACATTTTTCCTTGCATCATAAAAATTGGCGATTTTAATCAAGCCATTAACCACAAGTATTGGTCAAGTATAAGTAAATTTGGCTCAGAAATTGTACAGGAAGACAGAATTAATTCCATTAAACTTCGCAAAAATGTCAGATTATTATAAAAATACCCCAATTCCTCTAGAACAAAAATAAATAGATAAAACCTATATACGCTTATTTTCCAGAAAATAATCCCGAAAACCACATAATATCTCTACTAAAGTTCATATTTATTCCCTGGATAACACGAATAAACAACATTTTCCCCAAACTCATAACCGTTTGATCCAGAACTGACACACGAGTGTATTTGTGTTGACACACGGTCAACACTCGTCCACGGCCAGGTCCCGTCCAGATTTTCAATTAGTTCTCTTTCTATTTGTCCAACCCTCGTCTCGAAGCACAGAGAGAGATACTTGTAGGAAGAGAACCGATAATATACAGGGCGTCTCAAAATTAGGTACATACTCATCATTATTGTTTAGCCGAAAAATATTTCTTTAAATATATTGCTACAAATTTATACCTCCACAGATGCATGAACAATACGTTTATTTGTATTGTAAAGGCTTAAAAAGCCTCTTTTAATTTTCTTTTAGAGGCTATTCTATCTCTTCTTTCATAATAATTTTGGCGTCGTTAAAATCTACTCTGTGCCCTTTGTCCCATGCATGTTGACAAATCTTAGATTTGCTAAAATCGCGCTTTCTTGAATAATCTTTATGTTCTTTAATTCTTTAATTTAAGGGTTTGTTTTGTTTCACCATCATAAAATTTATCACATTCACATGGTATTTTGTAAGATGGTGGATAGTCCTTAGAGAACTACAGAAAAAAACAGCAGAAAAAACATTATTCTTAACACAATAAAGGAGAAAACTTCTAAATCCAAGATTGCAGGGACTATGGTTGGTCAAGTAAATAACAGATTCAGTGGTTAATGATTTGAAATAATATAGCGCGTTGTTAAAGTTTAGTTTACAGGTAATTTCAGACACTCTGTATATATGTGACTAGAAAGAATAATCAATCGGCAAACAAGAAGAGACGGGCAAATATAGATCTGGCTGTACAGGGCCGTTCTGTTTGTTTTCGATATTGTTTGTTTTGCTTTGATATCAAAGACGCGTGTAACGTCAGCATGACGATTGGGGTTGATCATATTAATTTAAGAGGGAAAAAGAGAAAGAAATAAACAGTATAAAAGCAAGAGAGAGACACACAAATATCCATAAAAAATTTATATCATTACCTCACGTTAAAAAAAAACAAAAATAGATACTTATAATATCAGGTATTAATATCATAAGGGTATTAATACCAAGGGCAAAGTTGCTTTCTCGAGACTCGCACCTGTACATTTTGTATATTTGTTGCTTTAAAAAAAAATTAAAATGTCAATATTCCATGGGTATATTGATAAATATGGTCTGAATTATAAGAAAATGCATTTTCTATGAAAACTTGAAGAGATAGGTAAAAAATGCTATAATACAAAATTAATAGACAATTAAATAGTGCATCTGATTCTCGTAAAATATACAGGATGTTCCATTTAAATTAAAGAAGTTATTACCGTTTAAAGCTAGTAATTATTTTAAATAATTTTTTAGAGACTTTGTATAAGGTAGTACAATTTTTATTATTACAACACAAAATTTAATAAATAGAAAAACTTCAGTACAATTTTGGTTTTAAAAAGTCAAATACATCTAGAGAAATGAATCATTAAATTTGTTACTGTATTTTCACAATAACGCAAATATTTCAAAAACGGTAAGATTAAAATGCGGTAAACCTTAACCAAATTTACCTTTATTTTAATCGTAGAAACTAAAAATGTTTTAATTTTTGACAAATTCGATCTTACTTTTTCGTAAACGACTCCTAGAGCTCGACCTCGCCAAAATTACGATCGATTATTATTTCGCAGCCGTCTTTGACGCCGTTTTTTCGGTCATACTCTGTTAACCTATGGCGGCCTCAGTGGAAATATTTAAAACGTGTAGATGATAATTTTGAGAGAGCCGGTCTTGACTCGCAATCGCCATAATTCTCTTCCAGGCCTATTATTATTATTATTCGCGGGTCTGCGGCTGATGGCGGACCTGAATTATACCGCCGCGGCTCCGGACCCGGAGGAGAGTCACTCCGGAACCCGGAAAAGGAGTTTTTCCGCTTGATTTACTGGAAAATTCCAGCCCAATTATCTCCCATATTTATGCGGTGTAGTTTCTTTATTTTCCCGGTTCTGGATACGGCGTTCTGATGTATGATAATCGCTTCATAATTGTGAATAAAATTTGATAAAAAAAAAATAATTATAAAAACGTAGGAAATCCCATGCACGTTTTGAAGTGTCCAAAATATTGGCTTTCCTAGTAATTTTACAGCTAAGTAGCTAATATGGTAATCGCAAAACAATTTCCGATGCACGTGATCAACTTTGAGTGACAGGCGATGGCGACAGCGTTGCCAAATTGTGATGGATTTATGAGATGAATTTTAATTTAAAATGGTAATTATTGGGAAAACTGGAAATCGTCAGATTTTCACCAAAATTGGTATACACCCTATTTTGAGGTCGTAGATTACGAATCTGAACTTTTTTCTTGGCGGTCTCTTACCGTTTTTCAGAAAAACGGAAAATTATTTCAACATCAAACTTTTCTTAATTTCTCATATTTTTAAGGTTTTCTAGCACAGATTTTGTTAGGTATTCAATAAACAATGATGCTATTGCTATTTTCTATTACTTTTTTAACCAATTCTATGCATAATAGAGGAAAATTTGCTAAAATAAATTTGTAAAATCTGAAAATGTTGGGTTATGTGTTTCTGGCATTTAAAGCAACGTTGCCAATGCTAAACCTAAATTTAGCGTGTTTTTTCGCTCATTCTGGGATTACGAAAGGCGATCGCGAGAAGAACTCTTCCTTCCCATAATTGCTCTTTTACCAACGAGATCTGACTATTTATAACCACGAAGTTGCAAGAAAGAGTTTTGATTGCATTGGTTACAATTTCCATGCGGAGGGTGTTAATCTTTTGTTGTTATATTATATCAAAAAAAGATTAACTCCCTCCGCAAAGCAATCAAAACTCTTCCCCGTAACTTTGTGGATATAGGTAGGTGTATATTTAATTATTGCGATCTCATAATAGGTAATTTATTTAAAATCCCTAATCACCCGAAAAAATTGAAGATATGGGAACGTTGTAAATTTTCAAATTTCTAGATTAGGTCTAGAATATATTTGTCTCTCTCATTACATAGGAGAGAGAAAGAAGGATATATCAAATGTCAAACTTCCAACTGGTCTCAATTTTCTTTGTTATTTTGTTAAGAAAAGTGTTTTTCAGTAAAATTTTGGACATTTTTCTATCCCCAATCAAGTGTGGCTTTTAGTTAAACTATAATATAATGAAAATATAGTGAAATTATTACTTTACAGGGCCGAAATAAAGAAAAATTCAATGTTGAAATAATTTTCCGCTTTTCTGAAAAACGGTAAGAAACCGCCAAGAAAAAAGTTCAGATTCGTAATCTACGACCTCAAAATAGTGTGTAAATAGTGGTGAAAATCGGACGATTTCCAGTTTTCCCAATAATTACCATTAAAATTGACAAACAACATATTTATTATATCATTTTTTAAAGAGTTTTTCGTTTTATTTTTAATTTAATAACTAATATTTTGGTGATTAATTGATTTATTTGTTTTATAGCTTATTTTACTTATTACAGATTGGCAAAACTAGTCCTTTATGAAGATTATTATAAGCGTTATTATGGGTTTTTTATTTACTGATGTACATTTTACAACGCCATAAGTGGTAATAACAAGTGAGAGGGTGCTGTTAATGCACAAACTAACAATCACAGAATTTAATGAAAATTAACTTTGAAAGTGGTATAATGTGCTTATCAATCAAACTTACTTTTCTGACTGCAGTCAAGGATAATAAAGGACCTTTATAGTCGCACGTTCTAGTTCAAAACAGTTAAAAAAAAAACAGGGAAGCAACAAGCTCTTTGCTTCGACTGTTTAAATGCTTCGGCATATTTTCAACACACAATTTCAAGAAATGCAATATAAAAACTCGAAAATTTAGTTCTTAAAAGAACTGTTTGTGCTTAAAAGTGCAATTTTTAAAAAATACTATGAAAATATTCAAAAAAAAAGAGAATTACTCACAAAGATTCAACAACACGGTATTATACAAAATAATGACTGACACTAGGATAATTATTGTCAAACAATAAAGGACAACATTGCTGAACACGGCGCAATGTGACCAACATATCGATAATAAAATTCGGTTTAAACTAATTTTTGCAGCTTTAATCTAAATAAAATATCTGTTACATTCTGTGCTCTATAAAGTAAAATGAAGAGCTGCTCGGTATCTTAATTTATACAACAAATTTAAACATTTTCGCCAAAATTTTATTGCTTACATTTGCAATTACTATAGACTGTTACATGTTCAGTTTTAATTTGAAAAGTTTGTTTAGTTTTTCTTAAATTACTTAAAATCCTCTTGTCCAAAATTGTTCAAATTGGCAAGCTTCAATCAGCATACCTTCAAAAAACATATTTACGAATTCACCGTAAAATTAACAGTAAGTAGGGGAACCAAAATATGGTTAAATCAAATTAAAAACCTTCGTAAGCTGCTTGTTTATTTTCAATTCTATTCTTTGTCTTCAGGTAAACGAGCTACAACAAAAAGAAGAAAGCCAGTCTCGCAAGCTTGATGGGGCTGGTAAAGGACCACCAGAAAGCTACCTTCTAATTATAAAGATTCCCATCTATCGATAAACATCCTGCTCACACACACACGGCTTCTTTCCCTTTACCTCCTTTTCACCTATTCTATCTAAGGCCCTTTTTATGAATGAAACTGGCGAGAGTGTCACCATATAACCGGACATTTCACCTTGTCGTGGTTAATTCTTAAGGTGCGTCCACATTGCTCGAGATCCTGCCCGCGCTCTTGCTTCTGACTGTGCTTGCGCTTCCTGTTTGTCGTATTTCTGAAGATCTTTCTGCCCACAACACATCCCAAGACACACTGCCTCCTCCATGGAAGGATCCTATTTCAGTCAATATGGAACTTTAGACGAAAAATATCGTGACTATATTTGTTTTTACATAGATGGCTCGAAATCTGACCAAGATGTTGGCTGTGCTTTTTACAGCCCGGTTGCTAATAAAAAAATTAGATTACCTAATTTCTCTGGCATTTTAACAGCCGAACTCACAGCTATTTATCAGGCTCTTATACAAATTTGGAGCATGCCACCGATTGAAGCATTAATACTCTCTGATTCACTTAGTTCCCTCAACAGTATTGCTTCTTTAAACCCCAAAATCTCTAACCTGGAGATCTAGTATATAAATTTACTGAAAGAAACTACAATGTTAACTTTATGTGGATTCCTGGATACTCTGACATTGCTGGTAACGACCGAGCAGACAAACTGGCTAACGAGGCAACGCTCTTACAGAATATTGAAGGAACTCCATCCGTTGTCAATTTCAGAAATTTCCACAAAAAAGTGTTCTTCAGTATACTTCAAAATGAATGGGACATCCTCGAGGGAACTAATAAACTTAGATCACACATGCCACTCCGTCATCTGTACCAAAATATATATTCTCTTGAACGCGGATCTTTCTGTAAAGTTGTTAGAACCCTCACAGGACACTCATATCTTACCAAATCATATATTATCAGAAATGAACCCCCTCCGAAATGCACCCTATGGAATAACTTAATGTTAATGAGACACATTCTTTTTGAATGCTTACCTGTTGCCTCCCATAGGTCTAGATTCTTTAATGCTGTTACCTATGAGAATATTTTCGCGCCTTTTAACATTTC